TTAGGAGTTTCTTGATGTAAAAGTCCGGTTCTGGTATTTGAAGATTCCGGAAGGGTCCTACACGCACAGTGCTATGTCACGTGATTAAACACTGATAAAGTTTCTTCCGAAGTACAGTATGCACGGTAGATAAGCACACAACCTTTGGGGCGTTCTGCAGCTTAAACCTGTGTGCAGCGTTCTGTAGGCTGCGGGGCGTAGGAAGCTGCCTCTGTGTTGCTTAGTGAGGCCGTGTCTGGGCTGTCCTCGTGTTGCCCACCTCGTTTCCATTTCATGTGTTTTCTTTTCTTCCTGACCGAAGGGCGAGTCCAGTACCTTTTCCTGTTGAGAGTTCACAGGAAACTGTCTTAAATTCATAATACCTCTAACGTGTGTAAAGGTGGATTTCGAGCTGCTGTCTTGCTCTTCCTAATAGACCTCGTGGGTGGTTAAGCTCTCTGGGAGTGAAACATTAAAAATGAATGAAAAGAACTGGAGTAGTTTGTCTACAGTGGGGGTCAAGAGGGACTGGGTGGGGGAGGTTTAACAAAAGGCATTGATGTTTTAAATGCACAGAAATGTCATCCATCAATAATAAATGGTGTGGCATGGAGCAGATGTGCCAGGTTGAGTTATTATAGCATTTGGATCAGTTATTGGGGGAGGGGGCAGTGAACAGCGTAGCTGCTGTTTTTCAAATTATCTTTGTGAGCGGGCCGGCAGGTGATGTGGTGGACAAAGGTACTGGATTCCCACATGACCAACCATAGTTCATGTCCCGGACCTGGTGGCTTGCTTTCTTGCTTTCTATTTTTCTTCTCTCTCTCTCTCTCTCTCTCTCTGCCTCTCTCTGGTCAAATTAAAAAATAATAACAACAAATGGTATTAAATAAAGAAATAATTCTTTAAAAAAAGTATCCATATGAGAACTTTTGAATACAAATTTGAATATTTTATATTTATACTCTGATAGCTGCTAGTGGAAAATATAAGTTTGAAATTTCCAGAAATTCCGATTACATTTTGAATGTTTTTGGTTTTTTTTTTTTTTTTTGAGAGGTTTTCGCTATAGGGCGCGTGCGCTCGCCAGACAGACAGAGACATAGAGACAGAAAGCGAGAAATCACCCCCCAGGGGGGATGGTCACGCCGCAATCCCTTCTCCTCCATTCTCCTCTCGGGATCTTGGGCACGCACGCACACGCGCCCGGCGTGAGATTTAAGCCACCGGGTTCGAGACGCGAACCGCGGTCGACTACGTGGGAGTCCAGCGACATAGCCATTACGCTAACTGCTGGTTCCCATTTTGAATGTTTTTTAAAGAATTAGTAAAAATGAATAAATGTGGGCCAGCCAGTGGCATGGTGGTTAAGGTAGCTGGATTCTACATGGCTGACTGCACAGTTCAAGTCCCAGACCTAGTAGCTTTCAAAATATGTTGGGTACATGTGCATGTTACCCCAAATGGAGAATAGAGGAGAAGGGATTATGGCATGGCCATCTGCCCTGGAAGGTCATTTCTGTCTCTCTGTCTCTGTCTCTCTCTCCAGTAAACAGTTGCACCCTATCACAACACACTTTTTTTAAAAAAAGAATAAATAAATCTCACTTTTCTGAAAAGGAAAACATTCTGAAAATGAATTTCTTGCTCTTCGCAGCTGAAGCACTGAGTACTTGTTTTTTAAGAGCTCTTGTAATTATGAGGAATGAAAGTACATGACAAAACTTGAGTCAGGTGAAACTATTTCCCAATGTTGTCTCCATTTACATCGATTATATTTCTAGCTGTCTGCGCGGTGCATACTTAAACTAGAGGACCACTCAGGAAGCCCTGCTCATGCTCTAGCATCAGTCTCTCACCCTCAAAATTTTGATTCCAGTGATAATTGTATATACAGATGCCTGTGTGAGAATGGTCTTGCCCAATAGGGAGGTGACCAGAGAAATATCAACTTAATTGTATCAGAGAGAAAATCATTTCAAGCAAATGGAAAGGCAGACAAAAATCTATTAGGTAAACTGAAATACTTTGAAGCATAGACACTGTAGCAAAGTGAAGCTCTTACTCAGTCTTCTAGGTCTGTAAGAGTGACTATCAGTGGCTGAGCCATAATAACAGTGATGAATAAGGTGTTTAGAATGACTTTTGGGGTCCTAATTTGGAGTTAGTGTGCTTAATGTAAAAAACAGCCTGGGTGGGACCAGCAGATGGTGTAATGGTTACATCACTGATCTTCCACATGGCCGACTATGGTTCGAGTCCTGGACCCGAAGATTTGAAACTTACCCTGGGCATGTGTGTGTATGTGTGCCCAAAATCCTCAGAGGAAAATGGAGGAGAAGGGATTGTGGTGTGACCATCACCCCGAATGGTGATTTCTTGCTTTCTGTCTCTTTGGCAAACACATGAGCCCTGTAGCAAAGATCTCTCTCAAAAAATAAAAAATAAGGGACCAGCAGTTAGCGTAATGGCTATGTCGCTGGACTCCCATGTCGTTGACCACGGTTCATGTCCTGGACCTGGTGGCTTAAACTCACACCGGGCGCGTGTGCGTGCATGCCCAAGATCCCGAGAGGAGAATGGAGGAGAAGGGATTGCAGCGTGGTCATCCCCCCTGGGGGGGTGATTTCTCGCTTTCTATCTCTCTGTCTCTCTCTGTCTGGTGAGCGAACGCGCCCTATAGCAAAAACCTCTCCAAAAAAAAGAAAAAAGAAAAAACCAGCCTGGGTAAGACATCTGGGATTGGCCTTCATATTGCCCTTTGTTAGCCTCTTTGGACACTCGTTTGGAATTGGATATCTCTCTTGTCATCCCAACAAAACGAATTCCTCTTTGTTTTTCCTAAGGTGAGCAAAAAAGTACCTAGTTCTTGCAAATAATTCCAAGTTGGTTTGAGGTTTTTAGACTAGAAAAGACAAAAATACTTAGATGTTGTAGAAGAGTTCATTTAATGTGAGTGTGTTATGGTTGAAAATGAGAAGAGTGATTATATAAAATATTATTGCTCTTTTTTAGCCAACTATATTGTTAACTTTCAACTTTCTCAGGTACAGAATTTACTTGGATTAGTCTTTTTCACCTCCAAGGAATCCCAGGTTGCTTTAAAAAAGCACTTGTCAAGCTGACTTTCAAGCCACCAAATAAATCTATTTTATAGTCCCATTAGATACCTAGCTAAAAAACCCCCCATTCACTCTGTAAGATCTGTGGTTGGATACACAACTAGTTCCCAAAATCATCTCTGGTACACCTTCTTTGGGTTGTCCAGAAGGTGTTGAAATGCGAGAAGGCTGGTAGTGAAATCAGATTGTGGCTCAGGGTAATTAGGAAGGGAGAAAGACCAGCATTTTCCTAGTACATTGTCTGGCTTGGGTTTGCAGCTGCAAACAACGGATATGAATTTAACCAGTTGCTATAGTACAGCTGGTTCAGATCTGACTTTATAACTGGCTGAAGTAAAATGAAATGGCTGGAAAATTCCAGTCAAGTAACACCAGTGGGAACATGTGGAATTAAATAGTGTGAGCAAATGCTGGCTGACTTGGGGAAAAACTTCAGACATAAACTCGGGGGTGGTGGTGAGGACTCGGAGGGGGGCATTTTCTGGCCCTTTTAACAAGGGTCTATTGTTTTGATCAGTTCCCTTGCAGGAGGTGGAAGGGTTCCTCCATTCAGGGTAATTCGTGGAGTGTTTGGCTTGTCTACCTTCCTTCTTGCCTGATGTCACCTGATACATTTTTTTCAAGAAGGAAGAAAGAGAGAAGCTGTTACCTCAGTTCCTACCAATAACACAAATTTCCAAATGTAGTCTTTTTTCTTCTGCGGTGGTTTCCCATCCTGCATGATACGGAATCCCCTCTCTCTTCACAGTTCTCTGCTTCCGCCCAGCGCCTGTACCAGAAATACTGGTTACATTGGAGGCAAAGATTCAGGTTCTTTTTTTTTATTTTTTTAACTGTAAAGATGGGTTTGCTAAAGAAGGCTATTGTGTTATCAGTAGCTGGTTTTGCTCCGTGAATTGTGCGCTTAATTTGGAGAATTGAGAGTTGGCTGGGAAAGGAGTTCTGAGGACTTAAAGGACCATGGTGCTGTTTGGGGAAAACATTTGCTGTAACTAGGTTCAGGGTATTTAGCCTCTGCCAGCGCTTGGGAGCTGTGTTTGCCAAGTGATTTCCCTGTCGCAGGGATTAGCCAGTGATGTGAAACATTTGATTAAGGGACTTAGAGAAATCTTTCGTGAGGCACATGATTGGTAGCTGTTGCAGGCTTCCCCCCCACACACCCCGCTCCCCAACTCCGCTTCGTCTCTTGGGATTTATATCAAGTGTGTCATGATGAGTCATGGGATAGGGTGTCACAGTCCAGTGAAGAATCTTTTTAGAAAGCAAAGTTCTGGTAGGAATATTGTTAACTAAGCCCCTTACTGGTTCTTTATAACTTAGAAAGGAGCCCCTTCTTTTCTTCCTCAATTGTACCATGGCTTAACTATTTGGGGAAGGAAACTTACTATAAACTGTCGGTAAAAATTGCCTATATCCCAGTAGCAGCACTGTTCTGTGTCTTAAGAAAGTAACAGGTAGTGTGTAGTTTAAAGCACTGGATTCCCACATGGTCAGCCACCGTTCGAGTCCCAGACTCAGTGGGACTTGTTTGTGCGTGTGTGCCCAAAGTTCTGAGAGGAGAATGAAGGAGAAGGGATTGCAGCATGGCCTCCCCCCAGAGGAGGATTTTTCTCTTTCTCTCTGTTTCTCTCTGGCAAGTACACACATCTAAAATTTTTTTAAAAAGAAAGTTTTTTTCTAGAGGCACATTCTCTAGATTTGTTACATTTTAATTCCAAATACTTGGGACTTTTTTATTTTCCCTAAAAGTGACACCCCTTATTTGTGAGTCCAGAGAGAAGGCGATTCTGTCTTAAGCCATTCAACTCCAAAGTGGAGGGAAGGCGTGTTGCAGAGGGCAGTGCGGCCGTTCTGCTTCCCTCTCATCGTGTTAAACTTTGTACGTGTTCCTTCCCCCAGATCACCATCATCTTCAAGGCCCACCATGAGTGTACAGATCAGAAAGTGTACCAAGCTGTGACGGATGACCTGCCGGCCGCCTTTGTGGATGGCACCACCAGCGGTGGGGACGGCGATGCCAAGAGCCTGCGCATCGTGGAGAGGGAGAGTGGCCGCTATGTGGAGATGCACGCCCGCTACATAGGGACCACGGTGTTCGTGCGGCAGCTCGGTCGCTACCTGACCCTCGCCATCCGTATGCCCGAGGACCTGGCCATGTCCTATGAAGAAAGCCAGGACCTGCAGCTGTGTGTGAATGGCTGCCCCCTGAGTGAGCGCATTGATGACGGGCAGGGCCAGGTGTCGGCCATCCTGGGGCACAGCCTGACTCACACCGCCTTGGTGCAGGCCTGGCCTGGCTACACACTGGAGACTGCCAACACTCAATGCCACGAGAAGATGCCGGTGAAGGACATCTATTTCCAGTCCTGTGTCTTCGACCTGCTCACCACTGGTGATGCCAACTTCACTGCCGCAGCCCACAGTGCCTTGGAGGACGTGGAGGCGCTGCACCCGAGGAAGGAACGCTGGCACATCTTCCCGAGCAGTGGCACTGGGACTCCCCGAGGAGGCAGCGCTCTGGCAGTCAGTCTGGGACTCACATGCTTGATCCTTATTGTGTTTTTGTAGGGGTTGTCTTTTGTTTTTGTTTTTCTTTTCTTCTTGTCTATAGCAAAATTTTAAAATATATATTGTCATAATATATTGAGTAAAAGAGTATATATGTATATACCATGTATATGACAGGATGTTTGTCCTGGGGCACCCACCAGATTGTACATACTGTGTTTGACTGTTTTCACATATGTTGGATGTAGTGTTCTTTGATTGTATCAATTTTGTTTTGCAGTTTTGTGAAATGTTTTATAATGTCCCTGCCTGGGGACCTGTTAGAAAGCACTTTATTTTTTATATATTAAATATTTATGTGTGTACCTGGTTAATATGTACAGTGCATATCCACAGACACCACACGCAGCTTTCCCTTGGAAGGTGACCGGTTGTTTGTAGCCGTCTTTGCGGTTTCCTCTTGTCTGTTCTCATGGCTGCTGATCTGCCAGTGTGCAGTTCTCACTCGCCACCTCCAGGAGGCGCTGCCTCGTTCCTTTGAACTAGGTCCGCACCCCTTTTGCCTTCACTCTATTGGAAGAGACAGTGAGCATCCCCTCACAGTGCTTCGGCTCTGTTAAACACTGATCTTAAAGCCCTCTTCTCTCTCTAACACTGTCACTTTTTTAGAAGGTAGGGGAGTTGTTACTACATTCTCATTACTCTCAGTTCTAATTGTTATATTGGAGCACATAGAATGCATTAGGTTGAACCGTTTGAAAATGCTATTTTTGCAGGTGGGAAGGGTCTAGTGATGGCAGTTGTGTTGATAGGCATTTTGCTAGACTCCAGTAGCACTCAAGATTGTTTCTCTTCCCACACCCCTATTTAAATTGTAGCTTTTCTCTTTTAACTCTGTTCTGTGTTAAGCAAAACATGAAACTGTAAATTTATTAATACTTACATCTTGCTTTTTTTCTCTAATTTGTGCAAGCTTTCGTCCTTGGCTTTCTCTTGCTGAATGTTTGGGCCCCAAAACACACACTGCTCCCTGTCTCTGCCCCAAAAAGCCCCTTAGCCTTCCCTCCTAAATCCAAGGACTGGAGTGTGTTTGGTTCTTTCTCTAACGTAGAGGCCCCATCCCAGCGTTTTCTGCTCTTCCTTGCCCTCCATGCCGTGGTTTGCATCACCGCCTTCACTGTGTTTGTGCGGGCTCATGGAACGGAGTGCGGTGTGAATGACAGAAACGCTACCGTGGCCTGGCTGCACCTGACTTTGAGTGCAGGTTAATCCATTCTTGTTAACAGGGCTGTGTTCTGCAGGTAGTCCATTGTCCATCGAACACTCCGTCTCCGCACCTGTAGTTGAATAATAGTTGCTCATGTGATGTGAAGTCTCTGGAACATAAATGAACCCTCTCCCTGCCTTCTCCATCCCCTGGTTGCCTCCTTGCCCATTTTGCAGCAGGGATAGAATAACTACAAAAGCCGGGAACGTGGTGACTAGGAAAGTCAGCTCCAGGATAGGTAGGTGTATGTCACAGCGAAATGCAAATGTTCAGTTCCAAGAAGAAGTGACATGATTTGTGCTTTAATACAAATTTACATCAACACAAAAGATACGAACTTTAAGTGCCATGGTAATTAAGTGCCGTAGTAATGGACGCCACCATCTGCTTGGTTTTCCTTGGCCAGGAAATTTCTTGCATGTCCTTTTGTTCAGTGGCACCGCCCGAGGCCCAGGCTAGCAGGAAAAGAGGATGCCGTTTTGTGGAGCCATTTTCTAATAAATTCATGTAGTTGTAAGTTCACCTAGCATTGGCAACCTCTCTACCTTCTGGTCTAGGACAGGATAATCTAGGGCAGTCATAAAATAACGAAGGCACCTTGCTTTCCCTTCAGAGATTCAGCTCTGAAAAGTTGAGACCTAAACCTAACACCTTTTCACGGAAGCTGGATTGGAACCTGCTTACCCGTAGCTCTGAACCGTGGCCCTTTCTCGTTCACCTATGAAGCCATTACCTGGTTCAGAAGCTATTGCTTCTAGGTGATCATTCTGTCTTATAATTGAGCAGAAGGGACGATAGATATTGATCCTTTTAACCACTGTTTTTGTGCAACTAGTATAAAAGTGAAGTCAAAGCAATAGAAATTTCTACAGTATCTGGGTTTAGAGTGTATGTGATTAATATAACTTTGTTCTTTTCAGGGAAAACAGTCCATTCTTCTAACAGTTGGGAAAAGGAAATGGGCTTGTTTGGCCATTTCGTTTAGCTGGAAAGGATGCTGAGCGGCGTCCTGCATCGCTAGGTTAGTACAGTGTCTGCAGCTCTTCTCCCTTTGTCATCACTGTCCCTGTAAGACACTTGCAGCCCTCTGAGTACTCTCAAAATTACAAGTATTTCTCTAGATAAGAGCCAGGTTTATTTTCTCCTTTTCTAGGATTTCTAGAGAAAATGCTGCTTGCACATGTTGGTTCTTGAAATCCTTAGATTTTCAGTTAAACCAACACGTGGGTAGGCTGCAGTTGTTCCGAGGTCTCCTGGGGGAGCTTAAAACTTGGGGTGGGGGGGAACACTGGTTTTCACAGATGCTCCACATAGCTGTCTTTAAAAGACTCAAAAACTTTTTGTCCTATTTGCTATGCTTGGAAACTCCCAGTGTGTAGAGTCTTTGCAAAGAAACCTTTAGATGTGGCTCATAGGTATATGAATACGTATCTGTGTAAAACAGTGAGTGTGCAGTGTGTAAATACTTAAATTATTATGCTAGAAAAATAAAGTTACATACCCTGCTGTGGAATGTTTGTCCTGTGATTATAGTGACACCTGCTGGAAGACCCACACAACGGCTGCAGAGGAAAGGGCCGGGTGTGTAAAATCCCTCATGGCTACAATACATTGTATCACCTACATACAAATTCACTTCTTTTATAAACTACTGTATTTTTTTTTTTTAAAAAAAACTTTTTTAACAAAGTCAGCATCATGATGATTCCTCCTCAGCCTCCCAGCTGAGACCATAGGTGCACACCACCACACCAGACTGTTTTCAGACATTGTGTTGCCCAAGTCAGCCTCAAGCTCATGATCCTCCTGACTCAGCCTCTGCGGTTGCTGAGATTACAGGTGTGCACTTCCACAGCTGGCCTTTAGGTCGGACCAGGAATTGACCCCAGGCCTCTCCTGTAGCCCTAGCCTGAGGAGCACCGTGTTTTAGCAGCGTGTGCCACCACAGCTAGACCCCTTTTTAAAATTTTGACTACTTAGAAGTATGTGACTGTGAGACTCATCCACTGGTATTGCCCCAAAGATCTGTCTGTCATACTTGGGTCCCTCAAAGTCACAGCCTGTACTCTGGCAGCGTGGCCTGCACCAACCTACTCCTGGTGGGAGCTCTTGGGGGCAGGATGTTCTGGGTTTGAGAACTTTTGTAAATCCTTACTTGGGTGCTCTAGATCACAAAGTGCTCTTTGTTCCAGAAACATGACAGGGTAGAAAAGTTTGGAAAAGAAACCCAAAGTAAAGGTACAGGAAAGCACTGTTACCAGAGTGGATAATAAATGGAGCAAATTCCGACTGGGGGAAACGTGCATGTAACCCCTTCTCAAATAGGAACTATTGCACCTAATGTTTATGTGTAGCAGCTCGACCACACAAAATAGGATGACAGTAATACAGTCACTGAGCATCCGGTGTGTGCTCTAGATGAACACAGGCCGTCTGCATCACAATAAAGTCTGCACTTAGGAGTCAAAAATCATTCAACACTCTGCTCAGGCCCAGACTCAGATTTTTAGGCCAGAAAGATGAGGTCATTAAGGAGATATATAATGGCAACTTTGGGAGCTTTTCAGGGACTGGAACTTGAACTTCGGAAACCTAAAGGAGAGGACTTCGTTTTCCTTTTCTTTTTCCTATAGGGCATGTGCATTCACTGTAGAGAGAGACAGAAAGCGAGAAATCAACCCCCCGGGAGGTCCATGCCTCAATCTCTTCTCTATTCTCTCAGGACTCTGGGCATGCATGCACATGTGCCTAGCACGAGTTTAAAACCATCGGGTCCAGGCTTTGAACCACAGTCGACTACTTGGGAGTCCAGCACCTTCATCACTACATCACCCACTGGCCCCAAGGTCTTCATTTTCCTTTTTTTAAAAAAAAAATTTTTTTTGTTCCTGTAGGGTTTGTATACTTACTGGAGAGAGAGAGAGAAACAGTGGGAAATTGAGAATCACCCCCCAGGAAGGATAGCCACACTGCAGTCCCTTCTCCCAGGATCTTGGGCATGCAGACACAAGTGCCTGGTGTGATTTTTTTTTTCGAGAGAGAGATTTTTGCTATAGAACATGTGCACTCGCCAGAAACAGAAAGCGAGAAATCACCCCCAAGGGTGTATGACCACACCACAATTCCTTCTCCATTCTCTGAGGATCCTGGGCATGCACACACACACACACACACACACACATACACATACACACACACACACAGTGTGAGTTTTAAGCCACCAGGTCCAGGATCCGAACTGCAGGCGACTACATAGGAATCCAGTGACATAACCATTACACCATGTGGTGGTCCCACCCTGTGCAATATTTAAGCTACCTGGTCTGGGACTCAAACCATGGTTGGCCATGGCCATATGGAAGTCCAGTAATGTAACCACTATGCCATTGCTGGCCCTGGTCTTCATTTTCTTGAACGGCAAATGGTGGCATAAGTCTTGCACATCCTGTAAACTGATTTTACTTACTTTTTATTTTCTAGCCATGGCACTGTCAGCATTCTATAGTCTACAACCAGCCAGGATGACACAGCCTTCTAGTCTTACTGTCCTTCCTGAGCAAAGACCCTTTGATGCAGATTTCCTTCCTAGTCCTATTAATAATGTCTATTGAGCATCTCTATCCCCCGAGGAGAACGCAACCAAGACAGTCAAGAGGAAGCAGCTCACAGTTCCTTGTGTCACTGCCCAGCTCACCGTGTTGTTTCTGCTTCCATGCCTTTTCTCTGTGTCTTCCAAATGGACCAGTCATGTTCTCATCATTATTATTATTGAGAAGGTATTTTCCTTTGAATTGACTGCTGTTTTTCTCCTCCAAGTACCTCCAATAAGGTGTTTCATACTGTGATCCCAATAAGTGGATAATATGCAGTCCTTTGTACCCGAGATGTAATGTCCCCTGGCAGTGAAGTATGTTCTTGGATTAGTGATGTCTTCTTTTCTCATCTCCCTTGGGAGCAGCCTATGGATTTACACAGACGGGGGCATCTGGGGCCCAGGAGGATACACTGACACTCGACGACACCATTAGAATGATGTTCAAACCAATTGAGCAAACCAGTCCTGTCAATTGTAATATGTTAGTTACAGTGGATCCTTCGGACTCC